TTGACTCCACTGGATTTCTATCTCTGGGGGTACATGCAAAGCCTGGTGTACGGAACTCCAGTGGAGACACAATATGATCTTGTGGCAAGAATTGCAGTAGCCACTGAAGTCATCCGGGTTCGGACGTGGAGGCCCAATAACCTGCCCCCCTCGCTCTCCTCACTTGACTCCACTGGATTTCTATCTCTGGGGGTACATGCAAAGCCTGGTGTACGAGACTCCAGTGGAGACACAACCTGATCTTGTGGCAAGAATTGCAGTTGCAGCTGGAACCATCCGGGATTATACGTAAGGACCCAATAACCTGGGCCCTCGCTCCTCTGACTTGACTCCATTGGATTTCTTTCTCTGGGAGTACATGCAAAGCCTGGTGTGCGGGACTCCAGTGGAGACACAGCCTGACCTTGTGGCAAGAATTGCAGTAGCCGCTGAAGCCATCCGGGTTTGGACGTGGAGGCACAGTAACCTGGCCCCCTCGCTCTGCTGAGTTGACTCCACTGGATTTCTATCTCTGGGGGTACATGCAAAGCCTGGTGTACGGGACTCCAGTGGAGACACAACCTGATCTTGTGGCAAGAATTGCAGTTGCAGCTGGAACCATCTGGGAAATGCAGGGAAACTTTCATAGAGTTCAGGATAACATAGCCAGGCGGTGCAGAAGATGCAATGAAGACGGTGGCAGCCACTTTGAGCAGCTTTTATAATGTAACACAACGATAACATCCCATAAAACTTATGCATCCCCTTGGAAAATGTTGTGGCCCTTAACGCTAAAAGGAAGAGTTTCCAGACATGGGGTGTATTAACAAAATATGATCAGATTGAACCCACCTATCCATCACAGATCGCTGTAACATATATATATTTACACCTGTGTAACCAGAGGCAAATACTTTAAGAGGAAAGAAAACCGCATTACAGTGAGCAGCAGAATCCTTAACTATAACAAACTGTACACCTGAAGATGGCCAAGTGAGCAGCAAAATCCTTAACCTGTGCACCTGAAGATGACCAATCAGGCCGAAACCTGTAGTGTCCAATACAGGAATATGAAGAAAGAATAAATGAAAGACGTTGCACAGAGACGGCACAAAAGCTCCAAAGTCAGAATTATAGTTTAATGCAAAACTAATGGGCGTACCTTTGGAGTGCCGTAGTGAGGTTGGTTCGACTGGACTCGGTTCATTTCCCGCTACAGCAACCTCATGAGAAAAAAAAAAAACAAATTGATGAGGTGGTACCAGAGGTTACTTTTTTTTTTTTTNTTTTTTTTTATTTATTAGTTTCGTGGGCTGGGGTGAGACAGTCAACTGGGTACGTCGGCCACTAATTGGCCTATTGTACTAGTTCAAGATGATAGATGAGTATGGAGGAGTTGAGTTCGTGGAACGAGAATTGGCAAGGAAAACCGAAGCATTTGAAAATCATGGCCCAGTGTCACTTTGTTCACCACAAATCCCAAATTACTTGACCTGGGATCGAACCCGGATCTCCTCGGGGGGGGGGGGGGGCGGGCAACTGGCACGCGCGGGT